GTAATTTCTACGGTCCCCTATTTTACATTGAAACATAACAATAATGAAGATTCTTCTTCCTGTTCTTTTACCTGTGTCTCGCTTGCTTGCTTGTCTTTCCTCATTAGCTTTGCTATCAGTGCCATCTATTTGATCAACAGTCAGGTTATTTTCCTTAAAAAATAACTACGCAGCTGTAACCCTGAAGAAATCAAAGTGCTGCTCGTTTTCCTAGCGAGTTCCCTCTCCTTCTCACCCCCTAGCTCTTTCAAAGCAGCACTGCCCTTAGAAGTCCACCTTTGGGAGCTATCTCAGCTCTGAGCCTGTTTCACAGACCTACACAAAGTCCTGGCTGGATAGTGACAGATCCGCAGGCACTGTGAGGACAATTCAAGCCCTGCTGACCCTCCTCTCAGCATCCCTTCTCCTTGCTGGCAGGTGTTTCAATTTGAGAGACGGGTCCCTCTCCACAGGCAGAAAATGCGTCAGCCTTTTGTGTGTGTAAACTGGAGCACAGGCTTTGTTTGGAGTAAGAAAGCATCACAGCAGTTGGAGGAGATGGATTGCATAGCTTGAAAGGTTGAGCCATTCCTTCTTAGAAATATCTACAGCCCAGCCTGAGCCCCGGCAGGCATGTACTTTATGAATTTTTCCTACAAATATTTAGACAAGAAACACTGTAGACAGGGCTAAAAGAAATTGTCACTGTGCACTTACTTCTAAAGACCTGTTTCTCTGCAGGAATCACCAGTTTGGCAAGATCAACAGTAGGAGTGAAGGTGAGACAGCCACACTAAATAACTTTTCCCCTACAAGACAGGCTTTTTCTCTTTTTGTACTATTGAAAGGTGTTTGAAGTTTTTTTTTCTATGCATATTTCAAAGCGATTTTGTTTCATTCATTGTGAAAAATCAGTGTGTAGACTCCAGTTTTACCTGTCCTTAAGCCTTCTCTTTTTATTGCTTTTATCCTCACCCGTCACTCCGTTCTTACCTTACCACTGTGGTTGCAAACAGGTAGGGTGTACATACCAGCAACTTTTCAGTGCAAGAAGTCCTTGGTGAGCCTTACATATGATTGTTCTTATCAAAGCCTCAATGTTCTGTCCCTCAGAAGATATCTTTGCTGTGACTCGTGCATACGGGCAGAGTGACAAGAGGTATGGGCTTGCTTTTATATGCATGTAGGCTTCTCTGTATGGAAGTGGGGAGCTATAGAGACATCTGCACTCTTTGCTGTCATGCTCCACCTGTGAGGATGGTAGGCAGCTTTCTGCAGCAGTACCATGGTACCTTTCTGCTTCTTCACTGCCTGTCAAATGTAATCTCTTCACATGGGCAAAAGTGACTGTGGCTGGTGAAGTCACTTTGCAGCTGTGGATTGAGACTGTCTTTCCCTTGGTAGCTGTGCTGCCCATTGCAGTGCATAAACTTGAAAATGGCAGTCTGGTGCCATTGCCACAGTACTCCTGCAGTGGTCTGTGCCTCCACTCAAAGGGAAAAGGCACGGTAGCCAACCCGTGCCAGCAGTTTTCATAGATCTTCTGGGATACTAAGTTATAAGGAAATCTTCTGTAACAGCTGTGAGGTATTACAAGAAAACAAATAACTGTTTGCTTACTTAATGGCCATCAGTCTTGATGGCGCCCCTGGTTTGTTTATAGCTCAGGACTGAGATAAAGGTTAGTACTGACCATACAACAATATGTGTCTAATATAGTTGCTTGGGAACACAACTATAGCTCAGGACTGAGATAAAGGTTAGCATTGACCATACAACAATATGTGTCTAATACAGTTGCTTGGGAACACAATGCCAATATTTTCTGTGTTGACACCACACCTGTTCTGTCTCTTAAGCAGGATGGCTTCCGTGCAAATAACTCCTGTTTGAATGCTCAGATCAACTGGATTCCAGTTTGCTTTGTAGAATTAAATGAGCACAACATAGAGTGGTTAAAGAGATTTTCACATTCATTATAAAAGGAGCATTTTGTCCATATAGATGCCAAATATTCCCTCTTATGGGCAAGTGACTTTGATACTGCTGGCCCATCAGTTGTTACTGGGGACAGAAGAGAGAAGGAATAATTTGAAATTGAGAGTTGCTCGTACTATTGTGAGTGGCAGCTGGAGTACTTCATATGGAGTTCTGACCGTGCTTTCTGTGGCATTTTGTTATAGTCCAGGTAAAGATCAGTAAACAGTAATAAGAGTTTATAGGGGTATCTTGCTCAAATGCACATCTGGTTGTTTTTACATGTCCCTCCTACTGACTGCACAGGCACAGCCCACTAGTGTAAAACAACAATGGGATTTAACGTGATGATGGATAAATCAGGGTGTGTCTCAAACCTCCCTTCCTCCAGAGGGGACAGGGAAGCCACCAGTCCTGAATGTCTCCACTTCATTTGGAGTATTACAGAAGACATGATATTTTCAGCCTTTTCCATGCTGAGTGGCACAAAGGAGATATTTTGAGGTTGCAGGAAGTACTCATTTACATTTCTAAACTGTGGTGTAATCCTGCTCAGGGCTCCTGGCTACCTCCATAATAATACTGCTGGTTGAAGCCAGGTAAACCATTGCAAGTACAACAGCAGCAGCAAACTACAGCTGGCTTTCCCCATAACAATTCCCTTGCTGAATGAACACATACCTTTTCACACCCTGTGACTGAGTTGAAGAGAACTTTTGCATGTGGGTAGATTGCTGTCATAATAAACACCTGAGCAAACTTTACTATATCCTATGTTGGCTGTAACTCTGCATATGTGGCAGAGCCTACAAAGCCAAGAATTTTATAAAGTTTATTCTTCTAACTCCACCCAGCCAAAATACAGTCTCCAGTTCTCCCCCCAAACTATCTTGGTTTAAATAAATATAATGAAATCTCAAATAAATGATGGGACCCATGTCTTCTGAAAAGCATGACACTGTAAAATCCTGGTTGGGAGAGTTACCTTCTCTGGGTAATTCTGTCTGAAGCAACCATCAGTCCTACCCCAGCTGTTCACATGTGCCCTTGCGTCATCCCCTGCCTTATGCTGCCATAACTGCTTTTGTAGCTGGGTAATGAACTAATCAGGAACACACATCCAGATGGAAAATAGCCCAGGGGAAAGGGGTGAGGGTGAGTTTTCTGCCAGATCAGTTCCTCCATCTCCTCTCAAATGCGGGTGTTTACACCCTGCAGCAATAATGGGAACAAAATCATCTGGGGAACAGGGGCAGTCTGTGGTGACTGTTTAAAACAGTTTTACCACCCTTGATGAATGCCAAGCTATTGCCTTGAAAAAATGCTCCTCCCAAAGTTCCCAGTGTAAGGAAATGGGGTGGTTGATTTCCCTCAGCTCCCACTTTAATCTGTGTACTACTTGTTGCTTGGGCTTTGATGCTTGTCACAAGTGTGTCAGCAGTCTGTCCCTGCCTACACCTCTCCCTGCTGTCATCACTGCTCTGCTTTTCAAGGAACTTCTGTGGTCTGACTTGCAGAATAAAGAGTTTCTTAGGGAATATCAAAGAGGAGGCAAGACGTAACACATGAATTGCCTATGTAATATGTGGCTTTTCTGTGTGAGCCCAAAGTCTTCCCAGTATTTCCCTCACCACTTTATTCTTCTGCCAGACTGCATTTGGGCTGGACACTTTGTGCAGCACTGGCATGGTGCTGCAATTTGACGTAGTAAATTGCTTAACAGTTTCGTAACCTCTTCCTTTCACTGCTGGGTGGAAATGAGAGGCTTTGATATGGAGGTTGCATCACAGGACCAGCTTTGTAAAGAAAAATGAAAGTTGGAAATGAGGTTACACTACTACGTTTCATCCCTGCGTGTTGTTTTTTACGAGACACTCCTTCAGGGACACAGTGTGGCAGTGCTGGAGCCAACACACTCTGCCAGTGTCTGTCAGAGGGACGTTAGTTGCGTAACCTGCCAGATGCTGTGGCAATGATTGTGCGTGAGACTGACACCGATTAGGCTGCACCGTGGGGCTCCCACCAGGCATTTCCTAGGGCAGCAAGGGCTGCAGGGAGTGGGTATCACAGCAGCAGCAGTGATTGATACTGATGGCTGTTGGGGCTCTTCCAGGATAAGTCCGGCCCAAGCTTAGATGCCAGCAACTCCTGCTGTTTTGACATGAGCTCGATTAGACTGGCATTAGAGGATCACTAGACAGTACATGCATGCCAGAGGCCATTGCTAACAGACAGATAAGATCTCTTCCAGGGGCTGATCCAGGGGTGTTACGAGCAGGTGGTTTGGTGTCCACTTCCTCGGCCATCCTTGGCAGGAGTTCACCTTGGCAGTAGTTCACCTTGGCAGTGGCCTCTCTGTGTGTAGTGTAAAGCAGAGCACAGAGCCTGGTTTGATACAAACATTCACGCTGCTTCCCACCTCCCAGAGGGGCTTTCATCTCCTCAGCCCCTTTCTTCATTGTCCTGAGGGATTATTTTCCCTTTAAAACCTGTAGATCCGGAGTTTCCAGACTAAAAGCTACACCTCTCAGTGAGGTTGGGAGTCTGGCAGATGCAACTGAGTTGGGGTCCTGACCAGGCTGCCTGTTGGGCATTAGCCCTGGAGAAGGAGTGGGGGTCAAGGAGGTGTCTAGGTTTCCCCTTCCCATTTGCCTTGCCCTCTGCTGCCCCGGCAGAGCAGAGAGGGAAGGGGTCTGGTGAAAGGGGAGCCCTGCTCCCTCGGGCACCTCTCTGCTGGAAGGCTGTGAGGATGCAATTCCCTAACCTGGCCCTGCGGCGGGGAGAGGGTCTGTGGGTGGCTGCGGTCCGTGCTGCCTCCCGAACGTGTCCCGCCAGGTGAGTCCGCGCTCGGGGCAGGTGAACGCAAACACTGCCTGGGGCGTCAGTTCCCGGGGGTGGAGCTGCTCCGGCACAGGTGGCAGGGCCGAGCCCGGGGCCCTGCGGAGCCGGGGGAGCTCTGCTCCCAAACCGAGCCCGAAGCAGCCAGCACACCTCGCTGGAAATCAAGCCATTGCCCCCAGCAAGCGAGGCTGTCCATGGCAAACATGGACTGTCCAGGGAAGGAAGGCGCGGGGGGAAGGAAGAGGAATTTGGCCCTGCTGAGGAGCAAGCTGTACATGGGGGAGAGGAGGAGGACAGAGCCCGTGGTGGAGAGCACCACCAGCGCCGGGGATCACAGCACCCTGAGGAGGAGTCAGTCTGACAGGACAGAGTACAGCCAGAAATTACAAGGTACTGGGGAAGTTTGCTCGGTGCTCTGCTGCTAGGGATGCTCTGAGCTGGGGTGGTGTCTTCAATGCCCTCCAGGCTGGAGATGAAGAAGGGAATGGCAGTCCCTGCCCCCCTGCAGTCCGAGTGGGTGAGCAATGGCCCCTCGAACCCTTGCTCCTCATCTCCAGGGTGTGAAACGTTTCCCCTAGTTTTTCTAAATAGTGTTGTGTAGACGGGTCACAAAATAGAATCAAAGTTTTTGGTGAGTTCCTGCAAAATGCGTAGGCAACCAGGATTTTTCGCACTCATCACCAGAATGCATTTGCAATGCAAACAGTACAAGCCTGAACTGAAGTATGTCCAAATACATGTTTGGATGGATATACTGATTCAAATTATACAATTATGGAGAGAGTGTCTTTTTAAATAACCAAATTGCATCTGGACCACAAACTGCAGTAAAATATGTCACTATTGGGCTTGTCAATCAAAAATTAAATGTGATGTCACAAATTGAGGAAAAGCATGAAGAATTTGTATGGCTGTTTCCTGGAGTGTTCTGGAACACCAGCTGATGAATTTCTGTGGGTTTACAGGGTCCTGAACTACAGGGTCCCATAACAAATGCAGGGTTTGAGTATTATACTATAAGTGTGTGTTACTGATAGTGATATAACTGCCTAGTGACAGTCACTCTTGCGAACATAATCCTTTATGGTGAAATAGAAAAATACTTTGGATTGCTGTATTGTGGGTTTGATGCACTTAATTAGGAAGTAGCATTGCTTCAGAAAGATGATAAAAGCAGAAAATAAAATAACAAACCTGACAATAATAGGTTTTCTATGGGGGCTGCGTGTACTGAGAACATCAGAGTGGTTCATCAACTATGCTGTTCCCTCCTCATGATAGCTAATCAATGAGCAGATGAAAAATATTCAGTTAAGTCAGGCTCACACGTCAGGGATCTGGCAGGGATGTTCCAGGGCATGGATTGCTATGGCTGGGCAGGCAGACTCCTGGTACAGGTCCCACCAAAACAACAGTTTTTAACTCATTAATATGGTTGCCCAGGGGAGATCAAGGTTATCAGAGCAGTATCCAACAAAAAATAGGAGATCTTTCTGTCCCATGTTGGTTGTATTTATGCCATGAATGTCTCTTGTTTAAAGTCTGGAGGAAAGGAGATGGGGAAACCTAAGGAAGTCGTGGCTGAGTGTGAGGTTATGGCAGCAGTTCAAGGAGATGGTAAATCCAGCTTTACAGCTCCTGCCACCAGCTGAGACTGCCACGGCCACTTACTGCAAATGCTGGTCTGGTATCAGCTTGCTCTACTTGCTTGCATTTTTTCAAGAAAAACAGTGATGGGTTAACAAGGTACCTGCAGGCTTTATATTGGATTAGAAGTTGCCTGTGCTCAGAGTGAAAATACTAAGGTGGTAGAAATTCCTATAAAGCATATTTACAGTCGCCATAGTGAAGCAGCTTACTCCAGTGTGAGAGCAGTTTTCTTGGCACAAAGCTTTTGCGTTTTCCATTCTTGGTAAGAAAACCCAACTGCTTTGTTGGTGACACAAGTAGTCTGTTGTGTATAACCAGGCCAGGAGTTTCTGATCGCCCTAGAATGGTAAATGTTTTGCAAAAAAGATACAAATGGTAATTTTCACTTGCTTCCCATATGAATTGCAGGAAACGCTCTGTGTTTAGTTGCCCCTCCCTTGTATAACCCCCTGTTAATGCATTCTCTAACACAATAGTCTGCAGCACTGGGGTAGGTATTAGCAGAGACAAGGATGTGTAAGACAGAGAGATGCAACAGCAGCAAACACTGCAGAAGGGAATCGCCTGTGAATGGAGCAAGTTTCCATAGATAAAAGTCAGGGGCTGCAGAACCTACATCTCTGCCAGTGGCAGGCAACCTTGGCAGAGCACGGGGATCGAGGTGTCTTTGCACCCCAGTGCCTGCATCAGCACCACAGTACATCTGTACAAGGTGAAGCATGAGCAAGACATCTCTTGAGGGCCCTTCCAGCCCTCTGCATGCTTTAAATGGTTCCCTGGGTACGCTCCAGGCTGTTGCCCCCCACAGCCATTTCCAGCAGCTCTGAAATGTAGATTCTAAGTGCAGCTCCGTATGCAAGAAATATAGGTCCCCAAATAAAAGCCTTTAAATAAAACAAAACCAAAACGAGACCAAGTAGTCAGGCATAAAAACTCCTGAGAATTCAGTTTCTGCCCTTGGATTTCTCTTAAGTTTTGCTATTTTATACAGAATCCAAATGTTTTCTATAAAGAGCAAGAAAGGGAGCCTACCACACAGTTCTCCAGGGTCATCGAGATGGTTTGCTCTGTCAGTCTACAAACAGGAGCACAATAGCACTGCAAAGCACAATAGCACTGCAAGTGTTTTTCACTTTAAGATTAAGGATTCCTTAAAACACAAGAAAGCATTTTCATGGTTAATTACTACACTAGATACATTTATTCAATCCCTTATCTAGTGTGAATGGCCATGCAACACCTCCTGACTTTACGCTTTTTAAAAAGGAAATAAGATGCAAAGTAACTATTATATTCTCAAAGAGCTTTGAAAGCATTAGTGCCTCTACTTCAGCACATCCTGTGAGATAACCAAATGCCTGCAGCCCCATTTCAGATAGGGGAAAATAAGGTGATTGCTATCAAATGTCAGGTTCATGATACAACCATGCAGTAATTTAGAACTCAGTTTGTAGTTGCATTCTTGGGAACACCTTGATCAAGCCATATATATGTTTTTCTGCCGTGAGCTGGAGAGAAGAATTAGTTTTCTGAAAAGAGAAGAATGGGGTTAAGGAAGATATGTTCACTAGCATTTGTGGTGGATCAAGGGTCATTACAAGAGCTAAGACAGAGCTCCTGTGACATTTCTGTGCATTGCTCTGTTCCACATTCACTAGAAAATTCTGCATGTATGCTTTTTCAAGAGGAATGAAGAACTTGCTAGTCTCCACAAGCAGTGGCACAAAGTGGTATTTAGCATTTCTATTTTCAAACGTATTTATAGCTGTTTAGCAGGTAGGAGTGGTTCTCTTTTCTACAGTGAAAATCCATCAGTAGCAGCATTAAAAGTAACTATATTAATGTGTGTTATACTAGTGTTGAGATCAGTCTTTGAATTAACCTAAAACTTCCAGTATATGAGTACCTATTTGTTCTGGTAAAAGGGGTTTGCTTCATGTAGTTATTGGCACATAAATGTTTGCAAGATCAGGGAAGATTAACATCCAATGTGTTGTGGGGAATGATGCTTTCAACTGAAAAGGGCAGACCATGAAGAGAAGTTTAAAGCATAGCTCACTGTTAGGCTTTGGACAGATTGCTGTTTTTATTAATAATCGTATGCCAAACTTGTGCTTGCTGTGAGAAATGATCTATGGAAAACAGTGGGTTTCCTCAGAGATCACATTTGCAGTGTTCAGTAAGACAATGCATGCCTTGAAAATACTCCTTGTCTTAAAAATCTATTACATATGAACTCCCTTATAACTTTAGCTGTGAATGAGTCAACTGCCCTGGTAAATGATTTGCACATGCTTCAATTTAAAATACATCAGTGACATGACTGTAATAGATAGTGATTCAAATCACACAGCTACCACAATATACTGCCTCAGAGCTCATATCTGAACCCTGAATGTCACATGTTGTCTATGTCTAATGTAGTTATGAGAAATAACCAACACCAGAAATGAGGCAGAAACCTGTGAAATTATACAAATTCCTGGAAAGCTGCTATCCCTTGGTATACAAAAGCCCAGTGAGAGGTAACTCATCCCCCTTAGATCCATCTCAAGCAGGGCACCTTCCTTCATCCCATCCTCCTCCCTGGTTGTAGAGCACACCTCTCCTTCCTGCATGGACTGCCGATCTACTCAGCTTCTCAGCACCTCCCACCAGGAGTAAAGATCCTCTGCACCTCTCCCCAGTTCCTTATTTGCTTTGTGCTGTACTTACTGATTAACTTGATTAACCTTCTAAGGACTACAATGCAGGTAATATCCTATTTCACTGCAAAATGTATTGATCTTTGGAACAGTTGGTTTGCTAAAGTACAGTAAGGAGTAAAAGTCTGGGTTATTTCCTGAAGTGCAGGAGATGGCTTAATGAAAATACCCACCTTGTGCCCTGTGATGAGAAGTCACAACCTAACAAGTACTTTTATTTTCTCCTATGCAAATTTAAGCTTGGAGGATCTAGTTCTTTTAACTTGTGCTGCAGTGAAGATGGAGTTACTCCTTGAGCTTATCGTAGTGGCAGCCAGGCTGGGAGGCAAGCTCACCTTTTCAGAGCAGAATCCATTTTGTGCTGCTGTGTTTGCACAGCACTTGGCACAACCAAGCCCTGCCATGTAGCTGAGGACTCTTAAGAGCTACTGCAGGTAACTAGTAACAGCAACTGGGGTAAAGGGGTGAAGACTAGGACCCAAGGAGGTTTACTGATCCTCCTCTGAGCATATTAGCAAATATTTCATTAACTGGGATACGTTGCATTGTGGGCCACAGAGCTCACAGTTTGCACAGCTAATCCGCACCAAATCTTGAGGTGCATGTGTCCCAGGGGAGGTGGTTCAGATACAGCCCTCCCTTGGTTCTTTATTAACATGTTAGCTCAGTGCCACAGGAGTGGTATATTCATACTGGTATGTGACACACTGGAAAGGTTTATTTGTAAGTATTGGTGCTAACAATAAGGGCATTCTTCTGTCACCTGATGATAAGCTTTCTTCCCTTCCACTGCGGTCACATGGGAGCTCTCTGTAGTCCTGTCAGCACACATATAATTAAAGCAGTCTGCTGTCAAGGAGTTGAAGAAAGAACCTGTGTGTTGAATACAAATATTTTCTGTACCTTATGGAGCAGAAAAATGATCAAAGATCGAATGACCTAATTGCAAGGAAGTCTCTGATGCAGATTTTATGAGCAAACCTGTTGCCCAGGAAGATGGGTGCAAGGTCATTCTGGTTCTGCAGCGTTTTCCTCCTGGGTTCAGAAATGAGGCTTTTTGCATGTGTAGCTCAGTGCACAACAAACGTGCTCCTGAACAATGCTGCTGTTACCTGCCTCTGTGGGAAAAGAAAAAAGGCATTTTCCACAACCTTCTCCCAATCCTTTCATATTTCAATGCCCAACTTGGAGTTCAGTGTTCTAATTTACACCATGTTTGCACCATATTGTTGCACTGCAACAACTCTGGTGCAAAACTGTAAGGACAACCCTATAAAGCGTCCCTCACAAGGGGAGGGGCATCTGGAGTAAAACTCCCTGTGTATTAACTCATGTGATGCACTTCTTCCACACACAGTGGGACACTCCATCCTTTCCCACTGCTTCTCCCATTTCAGTGTCCCTGTAGCCCACAGCCTTCCTGACACCCACAGTGGAAGCACAAGTGTAAGGGACAGAACTGGGGCCACAGTCTGAGGAGAATTGTGAGGAGGGAGAGGAAAGCTACCACGGCAGCGGTCTCTGAATTTGGCTGCCTGCATTTCATTGCCAAATCCAGCTGAAAAAAGTCAGTATATATTCCTATGTGCAATTGCTAGGTTATCTGAGGGTACAGGCTATCTGAGGACTTGCTTTCACAGAGGAGTGATTTTATCCAGGGTGGTACAAGACTCATGTTTCACTCATGAAAACAGAGTAATGCTGTAATTTGTTTGTTATACCTTGATAACTTATGCCTTCACTGCTCTCTTGTGCCAGGCAAAATCCCCCTATCTGCACAGTGTGAGTGCAGAACTTGTATTCCTTTGGCATCCTCCAAATGCTGCCTAAGTAACAAACAGGCCTGTTACTCACTCCACGCACTGACCTCACTGTACTTCTTCCTATATTCTGTGCCAGTACCTTCAGCTCCACATGGAAAGCATTGGATGGAGATGAACCTGGGTCCTCTCCCCAAGGGCAAATGTAATATCCAACCTAAGCATCTCACCTGGGAGGAAGGATGGATAGAGCAGACCTCTTGGAACTGCTCACACTCTAGGTGCAACAGCCAGGGAAATTTACATGCATAAATCTTGCAGACCTGTTATGGCTGCTCCTCCAGTCACTTGGTGTGGGTCCCCCAATACGTCCCCTTGGCCTAGAAGAGAGCTGCTGTATTTGCACACTGCAAGTTCTGTTCTTCCACGCTCTCACTGCATTGTGGGATGTCTCCATCTGGGGGATACTTTTAGAATTCACACTCGAAAGGAGCTTTTTTGTAAGACATGTGGTTGCTTTGTCCATGTCCTGTCACAGCAAGCTTCTTGTTTCAACTGGAGCAATGTACTTCAATACACATCTGGAAAATCAAAGTCATCACCTCCCTCTCCAAAGCAAAGTCTTCCAGAAAGGTGACTCCTGCAGATAGCTGACAGCACAAAGCAAACATTGTCTTCTACTTTATATTTTTATGCCTGAAAGTACCAGTTAGTTTTTTTCTTAACTGGTCTTAAAATGGATCTGTTTAATAAACCATTCAACGGACTGTTTTTTCATTTTTCTAAACCTGTTGTCTCTGAGGACGAATGAGTCAAATTCTTACTG